TCACCAAATTGCCCAGGCAGGTCTCGAACCCACAGGCTCAGGCAATTCACTCACCTCAGCCTCCCAAGGCGCAGGATTACAGGCTGAGCCACTGAGCCCGGCTTGTCTTTAATTTTTCATAAGTATCTTTTAAAAATAGATTGATTTTGTGTATTCCTTGTTCCTGCCTCTTCCACCCACCTAGATCTTGGCGACTTAGTACAACAAACACGTTCTTTTCGCGTTTAACCAGCCTCCTGGTGATGGCCATAGTTAGGTTGCTTCTGGCCTCGCTGAGGTACTGCCTCATGTCCATGTGCACTATCGCTCTTTCAGTAAAATCAGGAAAATTATCAGATCAAGAGATATGAGCATTTTAAATTTTAGTAGAAATTGCTTGATACCTCCCTTTGTAAAATGACTAAAATCTAAGCTGTTGCCAGAGATTTTTGTTTCCTTACCTAACTCATGTTCAGATATGAGTGTAGGTTGTAATCTCAGATCCGGAGGCAATGCCTTTTATATTTCCCATAATCCCCTCTCCCCAACAAACCCACCAAGATGAGGTGGTGGTGACTGAATCGCGCAGTCAGTGCTTATTTATACCAGGGGTGCCAAAAATATATATACACATTTTAAGAGATGTTAACTGTGTACTACTTTTAGTTCACTGTAATCAGAAGTGTCTGGATGTTGATAGTAACCACTTTGAGCACCTCCTGTAATTTCAGATGTCAAGCTTGTCTTATATTCATCTTTTGTTATCAGTATATATTGAATATTACAATTTTAATACAGTTTTTTTCCATTCTTAAAATGTGTATATATATTTTTTTGGCACCCTCTGTATATAGTGTCCGTGCTGTCTCTGTTCCCCTAGTAATGTGTTGGTGATTGAAAGCAGATGAACTCTGAGAAAGGTTGAAGCAGCCACAAGATTTGCCCTGGCATTTACAACTCAGTGAGGCACCAGAGAGGAATGTTGTGCCTCTCCACACCTCTGATGAGAATAGGTGAAAGAGACCATCTAATCTGGAGGATTCCTCTAGACCCCAGTTTGAGGAAGAGGCAGGGCCCTGTTTATCTGTCCCTCAACTACACTGAGACTCTGCTTGCCTTCCTTATTTTGGCAGGCAGGCACACCCACACCTCCTCTCTGTCCTCCTTCAGCCAACTCTTAAGTGGTCTATTTAAAGCCAAGAGATGGCACAGCCTGAAGGCTCCTCTTCCCGCAGGCCTCATCCTGAAGTTTGGGAGGGCCTGGCCATTCTTAACTCCAGATTCCCATCCATAATCCCTGCCTCCTGGATCTGAAAATGTTGAGGTCCAGCATAGGAAGTGACCAGTTGGTTTACTAACTAGCAAAACCCCTCCAAGGATGCGGTGGGTCAGTGTAAGTCTGCCATTCTCTCAGCGTCTCAGAAGGGAAGGGGGCCAGGGCTTAAGTTGGAGGGTAGGGAGCTCAGCCACTGATAGGCACCTCCACCGCCTTCCATCCTCCACACTCCACCATGGCCTCCTGTCATGGTGGGTTAACATGAACATTGTAGAGGACCAGAAGCTCCCTGGAGAGGTGCAATGAGCTGTTTGTTGAAGCGACCACAGGGGAGGTCTGGGTGTACTAAGTGGGGGTGGGGCAGTTCCAGTGAGCTGAGAGGAAGCAGTAATGGCAAGATGACTCATTCTAGGAATTGGCTGCAGCTTCTGGGGAGGGAGCTAGGGACTGCCTTGTAATCTATTAACCATTTGCCTACTGCAGGGCCTTTAAAAAGCCGGCATCACAGCACCAAGTCAGAAGAAAAAAGGGGACTTTTTGAAAAATATGTGGTCTCAGAATGCGTGTTTAATTGATTTGACACCAAGTGAATTATCTGGACCAGAAAAAGACAGAAGTGGGTTTTCTGGAGGCCCTAGAAAATGCCTCAGGTTGGTTAGAAGCAAAGGGGTTCCCCAGGCAAGGCTGGCCTGTTCATCCAGCCACCCATGGCATTCTGAGGGTCCCAAGGCCAGTTTTTCATTTGGTTCTTCCACGGAGTCTAAGGGGCCTGAGGAGGCTTACTTATATATACAAGCTTCTGTGACTTGCCTAGAGCATAGTTTTTACTTTAAGTGATCCACTTGAATAAATTTAAATATAATATTAACGATTCTTACAGTAAGTAGTGCCAGTAGTTCACTTATTGATTTGGGGATGAAGGGCGGAGTGGGGGAAGGAGAGGATGAGAAGAAGATAGGGGAGGTGGTCCTGAAGGGGACTGAGACAGTTTTTACTTTAAGGGGGCTAAGAAGTGAGTTGAGAAGTCCTCAGTCTTTCAGTTTGGTTTAGAAGGTAATTAACTGGATTAATGGCTCCAATTTGGACCTATAGAAAGGACTGTCAGCAGTATTTTTAGCACCTTGGGAGTGAGAGCGACTGTTTTACTGCCCTGAACTGAAACCTCATATTAACTTCTATTTCCTTATGAATGGAGGGGATTTCAGTTATAATCCTGCCTAGAGCAGCTGGACTGGGGAAGAAACCAGTTTATTAGTCTGGCTTCTCACAAATTAATGAAATTTTGCATAGTCACACACCTTCATTTTAGATAAACAATAGAGAAAACAGCTTTTGTTTTCCTGGAGGAACTTGGTTAATATTTGACAAATGCCACATATTTCCTTTCACAGTTTAAGCTGCTTCTTGATAGATACAAAGAGTTAATCATTGCCTCTCTGAACTATATACCTTTTTAGGTGTGTGAGTCTTTTTAGGTATAGAGAGTCCATTTCTATTCTAAAACTGTTTATTGGTTTTGCTCAAAATTTAAAAAAAAAATTTTTTTTTTTTTTTAAGAGGTGAAATCTTGCTGTGTTGCCCATGCTGGTCTCAAACTTCTGGGCTCAAGCAGTCCTCTCACCGTAGCCTCCCAAAGTAGTGAGATTACAGTTGTGAGCCACCACACCTAGCACAGTTCTGTTCAATTTTTAATGACCCAAATCTATGTTACTTTAATATTTTTGTACTATTCCATACTCAGAGAATTGATTAATTATATGAATTTTGTGACAGCCTAAGAAATCAGTGCTTACCATCTGTCTCATCTTTTGTCTGTTTGTTTAGGGGGGTATGAAACCTTCTACTCGGAATATCCCGAATGTTGCGTGGATGTAACACCCATTTCACAAGAGAAGATTGAAAGTGAGAGAGCCCTCATCAGCCAGTGTGGAAAACCAGTGCTAAACATCAGCTACAGGCCAGCTTATGACCAGGTACATGGTGTGGAAGGGGTGTCCTGAGTGGGATCCCAGGCCCCAGTCTCTGTTCCTTCCTCAACACCTGACCCTTCTCTCCTCACTCAGCAGCAACAGTGGCTAGTTCTTTTGTGGATTATAGTGTTGGCAGAATCTCTGGCTTTAGAGAGCCTCTGTTGCTTGCCAACTTGAGTTTCTATCCAAGAGTGAATGGGCTTCCTTCCAGCCAACAAGCTGAGGAGCAAAGGAGCCACAGGATGCTTGGCAGCTTCTGGGGAAAAGGGGAAGTGAAAGATACATTATAATCATCTGGCTTGGGATGTTCAGAGAAACTTCAAAATACTGGTCTAAGTTTCCCTGAAGATGTTTCAGAGCTGACTTTCAGGCTTCCTGTGCTGCTCTTCCTGGTAATTGTTCATGCTCTGAAGTTTCTGCAAACCATCCCACTACATGTCAAGGTGTGTCTTGGTGGTATTTTTAACTGAAACTGGGGTATGGGGAGGGGTTTCATAGAGAAACTCTGTTTGGATGACTTAAGCAGGCTCCTCTAAGAGGTTCTGATGCTTATAGTTCTGTAAATACTAAAACTAGAGATCAAGAGACATTAGAGAGCTTCATGTTTCTATAAATATGTCTAGGGCTTTTTTTCCTTAAAACAAATGAGTACTTTGTAATAACTCATTAAAGGAAAAATAGAGTGGAAGGCTCTGGTCAGGGGTTATCTAACACCATTATAGGAAGATGAGGAGACAGCCGGTGAGAATCCAAATCTGGCAGAAACCAGAAATCAAAACTTACCTTCCCACTTTGTAGAAGGGAAAAAGCTGTTCTGCGGCTCGTGAGACGCTTGATTTGCAGTCCCACAGATGGTTCAAGGCAGCATCAGGTTCAGAACTCCTTTCTCTTCACTCCCTGTTTTGGTTATTCTAAGACCTTGTTCTGTTTTTCCACATGGACTCGAATCTAGATACCTGATCCTGTGGGAGGAACCTTTCAAACTTTTCCCACAACCCAAGAACAGAATCCTAAGGAGAAAGACTTCTAGATTCTAAAATGCCAGTTCCCTGCCATGAGCAAAACCCTGCCCCTGGGGATAAACTTATTAGGCAAGCCAGGAGACCTTTTCGTCGGGAAGCCTGTGAGCTTGGCCAGATGCCAGGGTTATGATTTTGTTTGTTTTCCTTTATTGAAAGTCCTCACAATATATGATGAGCCCTTGGCTTTTAAGCCTGGGGCATACAGCCTAGCTAGATTTCTATTTTTGTTTGTTTGTTTGAGTTGTTTTCCCCCTCATTTCTCAGAAAGTGAAAGAGAAATAAGAATTGGCAGAATGAGCCGGGCTCGGTGGCTCAGCCTGTAATCCCGCGCCTTGGGAGGCTGAGGTGAGTGGATTGCCCGAGGGTTCGAGACCCACCTGGGCAACTTGGTGAGACCTCATCTCTATAATAAATCAAGAATTGGCAGAATGTTGTAAAGGCGTGGCAGACCTTTGACTAAGTGAGGGGTAGGGAGGCCTTGATGTGTCTTCAGGATTCATCCGGGGAACCCCCTAATGCTGCTTCTTAGAAGTGCTTCTGCACTGAGAGAAGCCAGGAGAAATCATGTTAACCTTTGGGGTTTCTAAAGGCCTTTGACTTCTTCCTCTTTAGTCTAAACAGAAGTTCAAAAAGGGAAAGAAATGTAGTTTCAGGGGTGTGTTGGGCTGAGCTCCAGAGGAAATTGGATGGGTTCCTGGGTCTGGTGTGTCAGCAATTTCCAAGACACTCAGGAGAAGGGGAGATCTTGAGTCAACCCTCCAGCTTGCTTCTTGGAAGGTGAACCTATGGTGCCAGTTGGGGACCCATAGCTGGTCAGTGGCCAGGTGAATCTGGACTTAGGACTCTGATTCCTTTCCAAAAACCACCTCTGCTGTTTTTCTGGTTCCCTAACTAGCTTAGGGATCAGACCTGCTGGGATTGACTAGCCTTAGAATCCATCCTGCGTCTTCCCCAGGGAGAGGAGCCATACTCTGTTAATTTATTCTACAACCTTGGATGATGATGGCAGTTAAATATGTGCCAGGTTTTAATGCATCCATTAACCCATTTACACCTTGCCAGTTATCCAGAGAGGATATATATTATTATTTTCAGTTTAGAGATAAAGGGTCAGAGGTAAAGAAGCTGCCCAGTATCATATCAGCTAGTAAGTGTGGAAGTGGGAATTGATCAAGGGTTGTTCTGTCTGGTGTCCAAGTCCTGGTTCTTAACTACTGTACTGTCATGGGGAAAGCTGCTCTGTATGTGTAGAAGTTTGGGGAGGTTTCCAGGAAGTGATACAAATGGACACTTTAGAGGAAGACAAGAGTCTTTACCTAAAATACTTGCTTCCTCACGCTGATCACTATTGAAGTGTAGTCAGACAAGTCCTTGTATCTCATGCTAAGCAGTCAGATTTGGGTTTCAATCTCAACTCTAACACAGACTTCACTCTGACTTGGGCAAGTTATTTAATACACCTGAACCTCAAGTTGCCCATCTATAAAATGGGAATTGTGTTACCTACCTCAAAGATTTGTTTGAAATTGGAATGACATAGGCATATCTAAAGTGTTAAGCCCAGAGGCCAGCCATGGTAAGTGCTAATAAAAACACTGGTTGTTATTACTACCCTATATAAAACCCTTTTTAAATTTTCTTTCAAGTAGCCAAATTGACCTTTGTTTAACATTTGACTTCTAAGGAAAGAAAAAGCAAATGCTGGGTGTGGGGTAAATTGAGAATTGCCTATTGCTGGCACTTGTCACATGCTCTTTTCCCTATTATGGGTATGGCTGAGAGTTTCCATTCTGCTCTTATAGTACAGGAAATGGAAACACAGGAAGCAGATGGATGGTATGGGAAAGGCTCCCAAAGTCACAGCCACTGTTCCCCAGCCCACTGTTTCTCTCTCAGTCTCCTGGGGCTCTCAGTGTTGTAACTGTTGCTAGCTTTTCTTGCCTCCTTACAACCCTGTAAATGCTAAGACTGCCAGAGTCTAACTAGCTAGCAGTTCTTTTGAGCTTTGCCTCAGGGTAGATGGTCTCTAGTTCTTTACTCTGCACCCAGCTTAACTAGAAACCTGGTGTGTGGGTGGCCTCCCAGCAGGGTGACTATGTAAGCAACTCTCACTTCACCCTCGCAAAGGCTCATGTGAAGAAGGTCGGGGTGGGGGAAGCCCCTCCGCTCTTAGTCCAACAACATTTCTTAGTCTGAAGATTCTGGGTAGGTAGTGCTTATTTTCAGTTTTAAGAAGCATGCTTTTTTGGGGGCGGGAAGAGTCACATTTTAATGGCTCTAAAATCTGGATGCCATATTAGATCGGGCACATTCAGGGTGGTATGGCCATAGACTGGGAGCGATCCTAAGTCGACAGTGTCATCTCAGGATCGACAGTTTGGTGAAATAGGCTATGTGAAATGTCAGGGCTGTAAAGGAGGGCATGTACCTTATTGAATCCTTCCCCATTTTATCTGCGAAGAAACCAAGGCTGCCCCCAGGTGAAGGGACTTGCCCTAGTACTCTCAGGACAGCTCAGACTTTGACACTGGCTTTTTGATCCTTCCCATTTTGCCACAAGGATTATCATCCTTAGCCCAGGAAGGCTATTGGCATTTCCTACTTCTTCGATATGCACAAAAAAACCAAAGTCTTTGCTATGTGGGTTTTGCTGTCACCGAATTACAAGGCAGTCATGTAGGATAGAGAGTTGACCAGGATGGAGGTGCCACCCACACTTCTGGTTGAACTGCCCTGCCTCTGAATGCTCTCTACATGGAAACCAGAAAGGGCTCCTCCCACCTTAAGAAACAAATAGATCAGGGTTGTTTTTTCCTCTCAAATGAGCAAGCTAATCCAATATTTGCTGGTTGTCCTTCGCCCCTGCTTCTAGGGTGGCCCAGTTGAAATCCTTCCCTTCCTCTACCTTGGAAGTGCCTACCACGCATCCAAGTGCGAGTTCCTCGCCAACCTGCACATCACAGCCCTGCTGAATGTCTCCCGGCGGACCTCCGAGGCCTGCACAACCCACCTACACTACAAATGGATCCCTGTGGAAGACAGCCACACAGCTGACATTAGCTCTCACTTTCAAGAAGCAATAGACTTCATTGGTAGGTTCAACCGTCCCTCCTCCCCAGTTATTTTAGGAGCCCCCTTTTGGGTCGCATGTTTTTAGCTTTTAATGTCTTGATGGGGGCTATCTTAACTGAGGGGAAAGTGTCTTGTATATGCAACCACTAAGAGTTGGAGCCAAGAAGGAATGCAGCCTCCAAAAAGGCAGAAAGGAAGCTATTAATAGGAGCTTTTAATTTGCAAGATAAGTGAGTTGATATAATTTTATGGCAATACTCACTGCTAATCTTTTTATTGTTTCTAGCTGGGCAGGAGCAGAGTGTGTCCCTACGTAATGTTCCACACAAGGAAAAAAGGGAAGAACCTCCCTAACTGTGCTTCTACGTAGGTTGGGATATTTTTAAAAGCAAACAGAAGGTTTGAGAGAGCACTACTTACGCACTGAGCCCCAAGGGCTTTCTGCACTTTTGGCAAACTGCTTTGGGGCTATTTGTTTTGCATCTTCAGCTAATTTTGGATTAAAGATAGCACTTGACTCAAGTTCCATGCTTTATGCACAGAAAAGTTGGCATCCTTTGCATGCTTTCTGCATTCCCATGAGGCAGTTATCATGTATACCATTATCTGAGCCTGAAAACCAAGGCCTTGGCCTCTGAGCCCTCTGCCTGGAAAGATCTATGTCCTTGTGGCTTCCAGGTCCTCTGTGTTGCCTGGATTGCTCTCCCATCCGGTATCTTCTCTTTCCCACATCCCTCTCCCTAGGGGACTGCCTTCACTTTTTCCCATCTCAGATTTTCAAGCACCACTCCCCAACCTTGTGGCCATGCCTCCCTTTCTAGAGCCCTTCTTTCTCTTTAACGTGTGTAGTTGTTGAAACTGACATGTTGATTTTCCTGTACCTTGTTCCAAGGGATGTTGGAGGGGAAAAGGCAGGTTGTTAGCACAGAAATAATTACTTAGTGCAAGGAGCCCCCACCTTGAGCCACATGGTGGGCCCTCTCTCTACTCACCACACAATTGCTGCTCCCCAGGAAGCCCTAATGAGAAACTCACCAGTGGCAAAAGGTCAAGTGTATTCTGCTTGTTCCCTAGGCCTCTGGGCTGAGATGGCTTCTTTGGAGTCTGAGAGGCAGCCACAATGATGGGCTCAGGGTGGGAAATTCGACTGGTTCTCCCTGTCCCTGGGAATGCCTTGCCCTTCTCAGCTTGTTACTTAATTACCTAGATAGCTACCTCATGAGGTCATGGAGCCTGCCCCATCCAGTTCTCAGAACCCTTCCTCCCCATCCTGTATGTGTACAATGTCCGTGTTTGTGCATACAATCACACAAACCCATAGTGTTTTGAAAGCATTAGAAGCTTTTCCCCAGACTCCTTGCCCTGCTCATGGAAGGAGGGAGTGAGCCTCCCAAGTGGGCCATGTGCTGAAATATGCACTGACCCCTTTCTGGGGGAAGAGAACTATGCGGAAGGCAGGCGCCTGTGGTGTAGAATGGGTTTCAAAAGCAGTGCACTCTGGGCTCTGCATTCTTGGAGGTGGCAGTCGGCCAGTTAACAGAGGAAGTCAACAGAGGAGCACAGAGAAATAGGAGTCACTACTCTGTAATTCTAGGAACTTGGAATCTCCTCTTTGAACTAATTTACAGAGACTGTTAATTTTTTTTGTTTTAGTCAGACTGAATTGAGAGGGGGGACCTCTAATGAGCTGCACCAGGTGTCCTTTGGGGATTTTGTTCAGATGGAGAAACTCCAGGGTTCCTCCCTGACACCTCAAATGCTATCCTTTAATCTTTCAGATTCATTTGCAGACTTGAACTTGGGGCAGGGAGGTGGAAAGTGTTAAGGGGAATAGGAAAATGAGTTTGTTGTTTTTTTTGCCCTTGAAAATCTGAAATGTTTTTGCATATTGTAGACTCACATAGTACCAACTACACCTAGCTTGCTGTGATGTGTCACTACACTATTTCCTCACTAGCAAGAGAGGGAATTGGAAAGACTATTTTGTATGATTTTGATTTGATGTGTACATATCTTTAACCTTTTACCCCTTCCCATTTTTCACAGTTGTAGTTGTTTGTTGGGACAGGAGAGACTAAACTGGAGAGGAAGGCACCCTCCCCCTTTTTGTCACATTGAGCTAAAGAATGCTAACTGATGGCAGTAGCTTTATAGCAGTGACTCCCATTGTTGAGCAAGATGGAGTTTGTGAAAGCCATTTATATCCTCTGTCTAGTAGGCGTCACTTAGCCATGGCTATAATTAGTGGCCGTGTGCTATTTATTTTATGTTTGGTGAGAACCCTGGGAGCTGAGCCAAGCAGCATCCCGCCCTGGCACAGCAAGACAGGGTGCCTAGGGAGGCTGAAAGACCTCTACCAGCATGAGGGCTAGGTCATGACCATTAAAATCAGACCCAGAAGCCGGGCTCGGTGGCTCAG